TGTTTAACGTTAGGATGAAATAAATAAAAGTATTTAAGTAAATTGCCATTGTTTATAAAAAAAAAAAAATGCAAAAACATTAAAAATAAATAAATTTTCCTACTTTTTTGTCCATTTAAATATATATATATATATATATAATATATATATATATATATATATATATATATTTATTTTTAAGGGTTTGGAAAAACCTTTAATTGTTTTTGGACTGTTTTTGAACAAACCAATACTTAAGGAAAAAATTTGAATAAAAAAAAAAAAAGAAAGAACATTTAATTAAATGAAAACCAGACGTTAAAAAATAAATCAAACAGTCCAAACAAAAAAATAAACTCAATACATTATGTAAAACAAATTTATAACATAAAAGCCAAATAAACCTAAAGAAGGTTAGACCCATTGATATCAGGTATAAATATAAATATAGAAATACATTGATCGTTATATTTATGAGGGAACATTTTCGAGTGTGATGCGTTTTTCGTAATTAGGAAATTTTTGATTTTTTTATGCTTGATTCTTACAAAATGATAAAACCTGAGGGATGCAAAAAATTTTGGTATATAATGTAATCGATTATATTTCGATTCTTTTTCTGGAAAAATATCACTTTCTCATTGAGATATTCCACACTGATACGAGAATTTCTTTGAAACAAAGAAATGAATACTGAGCTATTACGTGACATCTGTTCTTTTTTTTACGGCAGCAATTTGGGACGATTTTTTCCAAGATGAATAAGCGACGGACAATGTGGTTTAGAAATAGAAGGATGTTAAGGATATCATAGACGGAGCGTTGAAAAACGAAAAAAAGAGTGGATGCAAACAAAGAAGGCTTATACTTAACATCAGGAATCTTTACCTGAAATTTCTGGGAAACAATGGTTAATGAGGAAAACAGATAATCTATGGAGATTTTGATACTCAAGGGTCGAATAAAGGGAAAGAGAGAAAGGAAGATAATCCAATGGCATACCTAGCGGTCAAGTGGACAACAGAACGTGGTCTGGGGGAGGTAGAAGAGGAAAAGAACTTGTTGAGAGCTGCAAGGGAGAGAGGGAGGTGGATAGCCACGATCGTCTACGTCCTGAAAGGAAACGGCACATAAAAAGAAAGAATGATGTAGTTGGATAAAACTTATGCAATCTTTAACGCATTTAACAGATTATAGCTATAGCATAATATACAAACTTATAAATAAAAAAAACAAGTTTTAGAAGATTGCATAAGTTTCTAGAAGGTTCCAGAAATGTTCTAAACTTCCCAGAAAGTTCTAGAAGCTTTCAAAAAGTCAAAGTACTACTAAACGATTTTAGAAATGTCCTTTCATGATTTTTGTAGCCAATGTTCCTTTCTCATAAATCGATGAACCTTTGCTTAAAAGCTATGAAAAATTTTCTTAGTTCTTGAAAAATGTTATCCTCAAACCAAAAATTTGATTTTACCATATATGCAATAAGGGCACAAAATCAAAATATTTCAAAAGCGTTTTTTTACAATTTGCTAAGGATGTAGGTGGATGGTTTCCTGATGAAAAGATGAAGAAGCGACTCGAGGCGATGGAGATGCTAAGGATATCATGAACCGAGCGTGTGAGCAACGATGAGGTCTTAGAGAGGATGCAAACAAGGAGGAGGCTTATACTTAACATCAAGAAGAGGCAGTTTAAATTTCTGGGACATATAATTAGGAAGGACGGCGTGGAGAATTTGATACTCACGGGTCGAACAGAGGGAGAGAGAGACAAGGGAAAACAACGCATAACATACCTAGAGGATTGAGCAAGTGGATAACAGTACGTAGAAAAAAGTAGCAGAAGTAAATGGACTTAATTTAAAAACTCAGTACTTATGAAATATATGAAGAGCCACTGGACAATACATCCTGAAAGGACACGGCACATAAAAAGGAAGACTAGAAATTCAGCTAAGAATGGTTAAATTTTGTAGGAGCCCAGCCACAAATTTACTGTGGATGATCTAGTGATAAAAACACTCTCTAAATATTTTCGTCGTAGTCAATTATTTTCTCCTTTGATCAGAGTAGTTTTTTTTATATCAAATTTGTGGTCTGTCTCGTGACAGTGAGTAACTAATAGGTCATCTATAGTAAATTTAAGCTCAAGATCTTACAACATTTCTGGCTCATCTATTATCACAGTGTAGGATATCTAGTAACAAAAATGATGGAAACAAAAAGAATATATTATCACAGTGTAGGATATCTAGTAACAAAAATGATGGAAACAAAAAGAAAAAAGAATCTAAATGAAATCAATTAGATTATCTAAAAAAAAAATGAATTTAAAATTCCCAGCATCCCCACTCGTGCGCATGTGTAGTGGCACCAAGCATAACAAATTTAGTCCAATGAATTCCCAAAGAAAGAAATGCATCATATGAAAAGATATTTTTCAAAATTCTCATACATTTTCCCCACAATACTGTTCTTTATATATATATATATATATAAATAAAAAGGAAAAAAAAAGAAATATAGTCTCAAGATGTGCTATATTTATAGAATAAAGTACTCAAAGAGCGTGTGTAAATATTAAAGTGAACATAGAAGTCAACACTTAGAGGCGACAGTCTGTTTCATGCTAGACGCAATCGTCAGAAGAGATATATATATATATATCCAGACAGACAGTTTTGCTGTATCACAGTTCATCAGTGTGGCTAGACGTCCGATTGCTTCTAGCTAGGATCGAAACCCAACGGAATGAGTGTCAGCCGGGGATTCTACCACTAAGCCGTTGGCGTACGGCGGAGATGAAGGCGTATTTAAGCGTATTTATTTTTAGATAAACACACAGTGACTGAGAGAACTAGATTCGATATACCGAGTAGTCTTGCATTATTAGCCGTAATAGTCACTGTTTACCAACCCACACTTCCTCCCCAGAGAGCTGAATTAAATTTTTCAGAAGCATATATATATATATATATATATACACGTAAATATATATATATATATATATATATATATATATATACACACGTAAAAATATATATATATATATATATATATATATATATATATATATATATATATATATATAAATTATTTTTTTAATAATCTAGCCGATTTCATTCAGATTCATTTCCTTTTTCTTTCATTCCCTATTGTAAGTCGGTATCCCACACTGTGATAACAAAAGTTCTACCAGGAAAGGTAAAATGTTGTAAAACCCCGTACTTAAATTTACTGAAGATGACCTTGCGATCACCACACTTTCTAGACATTTTCGTTGTTGTGAGCTCTGTCTCCTTTGATCAGAGTAGCATTTTTTATGTCAAAATTCATTTTGTACATGGATATTCGACTAACATAACGAATTTAGTGCGATGAAGTCCTAAAAAACGAAGCACCTCAGGAGAAATGTGGACCTATATACAAATATACAGATATGTCCTTGGGTATGTTTGCGGCTGTCATTGTAATGCTTATCGGCATAATATGCATGATTGCCGTCAGAGTTGACAGTCGTTGTTGTTCAAATTGCACCAACAGTTACGATTGTTGAATTTCAGTTCGGTTACAATTAGTTGTTTCGATAGAACAAGCTGAGTGATTCAAGCCGATTTTATTTGCATTATTAGCGTTCTTGTAATTAGCGTCATTTCATAATGGCCGCCTTTATCGACCTCGTGTCAACAACGCCATTATCTAAGCGGACTGATTATTGCCAACGCAAACAATGCAAAACAATAAGATTGTGTTCCATCGAATGGTTTTAATAGCTTGTCGCGAATTAGATCACCATTCTTCTTGAGAGAACTATGCCTTTCTTTTTCTTCTTCTTTTTCTTCTTTTCGTCTTTTTATTTCTTCTTTTTCTTCTTCTTTCCCTTTTCAATTATTTCTTTCTTTCTCTTTTTTATTTCCTTCTTTCTTAGTCTTCTTTTCATCATGCTTTTTTCTTCTCCCTTCTTTGAAATTCTATATTTTTTTAATTAATTACCTTCTTTCTTTTTAACTTTCTAACTTTTCTTCTGTGAGATCAATTATTCTTCACTTTCTCCTCTTTTTCTTCTTCTTCTTCTTCTTCTTTTTCTTCTTCTTTTTCTTCTTCTTCTTCTTCTTCTTCTTTTTTTTCTTCTTCTTCTTCTTTTCTTCTTCTTCTTCTTCTTCTTCTACTAATTCTAATTCTACTTTTTCTTTTTCTTCTTTAAGTTGTTCTCTTTCTTCTTCTTTTTCTTCTTCTAATTCTACTCTTTCTTTTTCTTCTTTTATTTTTACTCTTTCTTCTTCTTCGTTTTCTTCTTCTTCTTCTTTCTTCTACGTCGACTTTTAGTTCTTCCTTTTCTCCCTTTATTATTCTTTTTTTTCTAATTCTTTCTTTTTCTTCTCTTCCTTTTCTCGATGCACATCCTCGCATCACATTTTTTGTCGTCGTCGTTGTTGTTGTTGTTTTTCTTCTTCTTCTTCTTCTTCTTCTTCTTCTTCTTCTTCTTCTTCTTCTTCTTCTTCTTCTTCTTCTTCACCTCCTCCTCCTCCTCCTTCTCTGCCTCCTCGTCCAATTTTACCCGACTCTTCATAACACAATTAATTCTCAATGAAGCTCCTTGATTTAAACGTCTATATTCACTGCAGAACTGAACTCATATCTCATCCATAGCTAAATATTCTGTGAAAAAAAAGCCGGTTCATTAAACAGTTCCACAATGGCCTCCACTAAACCATGCCATTCTTTGCAAAAGCCACTTTAAATCAAAATGGAGTGTTTGCTGCTAAATCCTCACTTTGTTCAAAATGGTTCATGCAGAAAAATGCGTCCTTACCGTAGATACTAATAGGCACAATAACAAATTAACAACAATAACTAATAATAAACTATAACTATTAAAACAATATAATGTAATAAAAGTTATGTGACAAACAGAAGATTCGTCTTTCGATCTTATTATAAGGGATTGACAACAAATGGCTAAACTAATACAATAGAACAATAATAACAAAAGCCAGCAATAAATGTAGCATGACAGACAGATTATAGGTAAATAAGAGCAGACGAGGATAGATAGATAGATAGATAGATAGATAGATAGATATGAACTGACTGAGATAGATAGATAGATAGATAGATAGATAGATAGATAGATAGATAGATAGATAGATAGATGGAAAATAAGATAGACAGGGCAATAGAGACAGGAAGGGGAGATAGATATATATATAGATAGATAGATAGATAGATAGATAGCGGAAAGGGGGAAAATAAGGTAGACAGGGCAAGAGAGAAAGGAAGGGGAGATAGATATATACATAGATAGATAGCAGAAAGAGGGGAAATAAGATATACAGGGCGAGAGAGACAGGAAGGGGAGATAGATAGATAGATAGATAGATAGATAGATAGATAGATAGATAGATAGATAGCAGAAAGAGGGAAAATAAGGTAGACAGGGCGAGAGAGACAGGGATATATATATATATATATATATATATATATATATATATATATATATATATGGATAGATAGATAGATAGATAGATAGCAGAAAGGGGGAAAATAAGATAGACAACGCGAGAGAGGGAAGATAGATAGATAGATAAGAACAGGATAAGATAGATAGATAAATAGATACACTATTTACATTATTCGGGCTATTGTTCTCATCTTTGTCGCCATATTTATTACAACGTTTCGGCCGTTGTACGCTCCGGCATCCTTCAGGTGGTTGGAATGTCGAACTGAACCCTTTAGTTCTAGTACCACGTGCCATGTTTAATGGATGTCAGTTGTTATTTACCTCCTGTTAATTCCCCACTCCAAGTTTTTTACAGCCTTAACCGGGTATTGAACTTACACTTTTTGGGTTCTGTCATTGGATTTAACTAAAGCCTTTATCCACTGTGACATCTATCCTTGAAGACCACCGGAAGACGGCCGGAGAGTACAACGGCCGAAACGTAATAAATATGGCGACAAAGATGAGGACAATTGTCCGAATAATGTAAATAGTGTACATGATACCTCATCTCAGAAATATAGACAGATACTGAAAGGCCGAAACGTTGTAATAAATATGGTGACAAAGATGCGGACAATAGTTCGAATAATGTAAATAGTGTAAATAATACTTTATCTCAGAAATATAGACAGATACTGAAAGGCCGAAACTTTGTAATAAATATGGCGACAAAGATGAGGACAATCGTCCGAATAATGTAAATAGTGTACATAATACTTCATCTCAGAAATATAGACGGATACTGAAGGACCGAAACGTTGTAATAAATATGGCAACAAAGATGAGGACAATAGTTCGAATAATGTAAATAGTGTACATAATACCTCATCTAAGAAATATAGACAGATACTGAACGGCCGAAACGTTGTGATAAATATGGCGACGAAGATGAGGGCAATAGTCCGAATAATGTAAATAGTGTACATAATTCCTTATCTCAGAAATATAGGCAGATACAGATGAATAGGTAGATGAAAACAGAACAGAATAAACTAGGATATATATATATATATATATATATATATATATATATATATATATATATAGAGAGAGAGAGAGAGAGAGAGAGAGAGAGAGAGAGAGAACGAGAGAGATTTATTATTGATCTTTGGTAGGAGAGTTTCGATGTGTAATGCAGCTTACCTAATTAATGGAAACATTATTGCATTCCCCTAATTAGGTGACATATTCTGCCGCTTCGCTAATTAAGAGCCATGTCCTTTTCCTAATTAGGGATTTTTTTTCAGTTCAGTTACGGATAAATATATTTTGGGAAGATACTTAACGTTTAACGGCAGCAAATAATGTATTCATTGAGCCGGGTTCGAACCCTTGCCTAATTCATTGCGTTCACTTTTTCACTTCCTTCCTTATGAAAGACATGAGCCCAACCATGGGTTAAAATTCAAGGGAAATTAGGCTCCTTAACTTTGTATGGAAGCTAGCTAAAGACAACTCCAAAACGGAGAGAAAGCAATGTACAACCATTTCTTCATCAAAATCGCGACCAAATTACAGATATTACAGAATAAGTAGTGAGCCATGATAACGATCATCCAGAAGAAAGATGGTATTTTATATCGTAGTGGTTTGTTCTTTGTTTTCTGATTAGAACTGGGTTTCCGATTTCTCCTAAAGCAATGGTTTCCAACCGATTTTGGGCCATGCCCTATTTTAGTATTTCGAAAATTCTTGTGCCCCTCTCTCGCGATAGTATTAAATTCTTCCATATTCAAAATTTTACTGCATTTCATTTGAAGGAAGCAAACTGAATGCTCACACGCGCTGATTAGCCGACAAAACACGGGCTTTTACAGCGACATGCATCACGCCCTCACCTTTGAAATTATTTGTGTAGTTCTGAAGAGGGCTATTTGTAAGGAATCCAGGTCATTTATTCTTGTTCATAGGCGTCCAAGATCTGAGAATGTCTAGACTAGTGGTTTCCAATCGATTTTAGACCATGCCCCACTTTGGTATTTAGAAAATTCTGGTCCCGGCCACCGTTGTAATAATTAATTCTTCCATATTCAAAATTTTACTCCAATTCACAAGAAGGAAGCTTAAAAGGCCATTAAGTTGGTCTCTAAACAAGCCTCCAAAGAAAATGGCATCCATGAAAGAGAAAAAATAAAAAAAATAAAAAGACAGTTAAATATTTCCCAACCATATAATCGAGAACTGATGGGCACCTTGGGGCGGTGTAATGGTTAACAAGCTTGTCTCGCTAGAACAATTACAACTGAGTAGTGAGTTCGATCCTCACTGGGTTCTCCATACATTCGGCCGTGTGCCACATCTAAGCTACGTTTGGAAAATCACCATTATTAAAGTTTCTGTTACTAATTCTTCCACATACAGTAACCCCTTGTGTCTTAGTGGCTTTACTGCCTTACTGATAGACAGGAATATAAAATATTTGAATGAAAGCTTATTCTGTCATATACTTTGTTAATTTTAATCATGAAATAATAATGCAAAATGAAATTTGAGCTCATCACAAAATGACTGTTAATGCGTCATGCCTGCTACAGATAGATTTTAATCGATAGAGATCAGCTGATTCATAGATGTCAAATTTTCAGACGTCGTACTGAAGTTGTCATCTATACAAATGGCGGATTCATTTAGATGCGTCTAGGGAAGGCTCAAGTTTATTCATGCCAAATTTGTTAACAAAAAAACCCATTTTCATGACTTGAGTTGTGACGTTTTAGGAGAAACGGTGGGGTAACGGATAGCGGCTCGGAGTGAGAAATCAGAGGGACGAGTTCGAATTCCAGTCAATCTCATTGCATTCACTTATATGCATAATACCCTTGGGAAATGTATGAATCCATCTCTCCTCTCCAAGGACAGATTGGATCCTATAGACTTGTTTGGCAACGGGTCTGAATTCTTGTACGCCCTGCTTCTTTAGGTAAAGGCTAGAAGAAGGTATTTTCAAAAAACAAATCCACTTCGTGTATCGTCTCGAAGAAAGGAACTAGCTCTCTACTACTTTTAATTTCAGGATTGAATTGTTTGAGATGCCTACCGTAAGCAAAGGGAGACCGTACACCTACCAACAAGACTACGCTCTGTCATAAGGAATTCAATCAACGCCTATATTACACTATAAAACCTCTGAAGTCCGTCATAACGATGACGATGTCCCAAATAGGATCCTCTGATTTCGGCAACGTTTCAAGCTTCCTTATGTCAAATAAAATCTCTTCTTTCATGACTTATACGTCTTTTATTAAATTCTTGCAAATATCCTCAAAGAACTGAGCAAACCTGTAAGTATGAAATATGTCTGATGTTTGTGGCAAAATTAAAACCTTGTTTAACATTGATTTCTCGGAGAGACTCAGCAGTTGATAATGAAACGTGGTAAGCCTTTGTGTGATTCTTCGTTTGTACTTGGCGTGGACGCAGACACCGTAGAAAGAAGGCAAGCAAAAACTGAGCACTACTAAATATAAACAAGACAAGATATACCGATATATTGACATGATACAATTGCCAAAATAGATAAAGAAGCTATTGGAGAGGGTTTTGAGGCCCTGGGTAGAGAGCATGACCAAAGAAAGACGCACAACATTATAAAACCTCTGAGGTTCGCAATAAATAGCACAATGTGCTCTGGAATGAAGAGACCTTACGGCCATACACACAAAGTTTCCGGAAACTGTAATGGTTCTGGGAGTCGTCAGTAACAAGGGAGAATTCATACTTCCTCGTATATTTTCTCAAGGATTAAGGGTCAAAGCTGCTGACTATAAGGAACTGTTGGAAGGGGTTGTGAGGGATTGGATAGAGAGCGTAAGCAAAGGAAGATCGTACATCTACCAACATGACTCTGTGTCGTCTCATGAGACCAAAATGATCCAAGAATAGACGGGTTACAATCTCCACGATCATGTCACCCCAGATATATGATTTCCTAGCTCTCCAGACCTGAATCAATTGGACGACCCCACAACATTATAAAAACTCTGAAGCGTACCATAACTAACGCAATGTACAAAATAGGGCGTGTCAAGGTTTCAAGGCCTCGTACTGAAGAAGTCTTTCCATTCTAATGGTGGATTCATTAGGTAGATGTGTCCAGAAGAGTCTCAAGGTTATTCCTGACAATTTCGTTCACAAATAAACTCCAATTTATCATGCCATACGTATTTTAGTAAATACATAAGAGTCACAGTGTAGTTATGGATAGCGGCTCGGATTGAGGAATCGGAGAGCTGAGTTCGAATTCCAGTACAATCTGTTACATTCCACTTACGTGTTAATACCCCTGGGAAAGGTATGAATCCTCTTTTTCTCTCCCCGCCAATTATGGGTAAATAGCAGGACAGACCGGTTCTATAGCCTTGGATGGCAACTTGTCTACCCCAAAAAGAAATACTACGGGAAAAAAAATATGCCTCGTCAGTCATGTCTCGAACGATACATGATCGTCATTTAGTATACTCGTGATGCACGGTGGAGTAATGGATAGCGGCTCGGATTGAGGAATCGGAGAGCCGAGTTCGAATTACAGGAGTTCACTGCATTCAGTTACATGCTAATACCCTTGTGAAAGGCATGAACCCATCTCTTCCCTCAGTTATGGGTAAAACAGTAGGACAGAGTGGACTCTATAGTTTTAGTTGGCAACCATTCTGAATTCTTGTAAGTCCTGCCTTTTTTGGTAAAGGCTATCTCCAAAACAAATCCACTTCGCATGTCGTATCGAAGAAAGGAACTGATTCATCCTGCTACTTTTAATTTAATGATGAAGTTAGTTGTGAGGCCTTGAATAGATAGTGTAAGCAAGGCAATACCGTACGCCTGCCAATAAGACTACGCTGTTCCATAAGGAAGCCGATCGACGTCTACATTACACTATAAAACCTCCCAAATAGATAAGGGATTCGGACAACGTTCCAGACATCTTACTGAAGCAGTCGTCGATCCTAACGGGAAATTCATTAAGTAAATGAGTCAAGAAGAGTCTCAAGATTATTCGTGCTATTTTTTATGTTAAATACAGCTCCATTTATTTCACTTTTTCATTGGATGCCTGCTCGATATGCCCGGGTCGGAGTCGCCGCCTGTCTGACCCTCACGTGTGCAAGCTACTCTCTGGAATGTTTTGGTTTTTCTCTAATGAGAAAAAAAATTGATCAAGACCAAAAGGTCAACAGAGCGTTATGCAGTGGCCCTCAGGACGTTCCGTCAGTCATGCAGACAAAATATCGGGCAAGTATGGGTCGTGAGCGATGTGGGAGATGCAATGACTCCCCACTTATTTCCTCGAGGTATGAGGGTCATTGCTGCAGGCTATAGGTGGTGTTAGATGGAGTTTGAGGGTTATTTCTCTGACTAAAGGTAGTGTCAGATGGGATTGTGAGACCTTGGGAAGAGAACGTGAGCACTGCTACATCTATCAACATACCGTCTCATAAGTCCAAGATGCCCCAAGAATGGACGAGTTACAATCCGCACAACCAAGTCGCTCCAAATATATGACTTCAGCTCTTCAGATTTGATTCTGTTGGACACCTACATGTAGAGATATCCCGAGACATGTTTGTCAGAACGATGTCTATTTACTCTATTCAATTAAATAAGGAATTCAGCTTTAAATTCCCTGAATTCCAAGAAGAACCTGATGAAGCCCGGAGAATGCAACGGCCTAAATCATGACAAAGATGAGGACAATAATCCAAGCTTAAATTAATCCTCGATAAACTACAGCCTGTAGCAAGGCCACTGATCAAGAGATTGGTGGTTTTGAGGTGCATGCAACCACCTCTTAATTGCTGTTGTTCTCAGGTCCGCCCTGATCCGGTGTGGTAGCACCTGTTCGGGGTGGTCCCAGCTATGTACAAATAGTTAACCCCCAAACTGGGGTCAAAACACTGCATACAAATACAGTTTTATAGCAAAAAATACCAGCAATACATTTTTGTAAAAGAAATTACTAAGGCTCCCAAGAAAATTAAATTTCGGCATTAAATGACCCATAGAGGTGTTGATGTGCAGCTAAATAGACAGACATCTTTAAAGCAGAATAACCATCAATACATCTTATCTGTAATTGTAGTCATGCAATTGCGTTCAAAATATATTTTGTTGAAGCCATAAAATTAACTCCAAAGTATTTAGATTTCGGCATTTAATGACTCATAGAGGTGTTGATATGCCGCTAAACAAAATCCACTACCCAACATCCAAGATTGAATAATGTAAATATTTGTTACACTTGGTCTCGACGCGGTGTTTATTTTGCACATAACGCTTATTATTCTTCAAATAATTTTCTCTTCGGCACGATTATTTTATTCCAGGAAGGCAAAAAAAAAAAAAAAAAAAAATACCGGATAATATTATAAAATTCCCGCCGGTATGCTTATTTCAGACATCACTTGTATTTGCTAAAAAAAATGTACCAAAAGACAACTCTCTTTTTAGTAAATTCTAACTTGAAATGTTTATCAGACGTTGTCAACTGAAAGCCGAAACTTCTTGAGTTGATCGTGTGAGAAGAATCCCACACTCAAAAATCCTACAAAACCAGCATGCTCGTTATATGAACACGGCAGGAGTTCTCAAAAATATTTATATACTGTTGATATAAATTTCAATTTCAATTCCAGAAACATTTGCCTACGCAGATTGCGCTTGCCTGTGTCTATCTATATGCAAATATGAACGCGCCATTCTTTCTATATATCTGCGATTGTCCTGTTTCGACCGCCATTCTCAAACATCGTGCCTCACCCATGATTCAGTGGTTCTGAGGCTATTAGACGAAATGACAGAGCCGACATTCACGTATTCTTCTTTTGTCTGACGGTGCCTGCCCCCGGGTTGACAAATTACGCGAGATGGACACGAGTTGTTGACCAGAATTGTATGCCCATGGAGAGAGGCTTGAAAATTAACTCTTGTGATGCCGGAAGGTTCCAGCAGGAGAAAAAAAAGACAGGATTCCTTCTCAGGCGTAAAATGGCGCTTTAGAGTCAGATGGCTGCAGGGTTACTTTAAGAAACATTATTATTAGTAGCATTATTATTAATAGCATTATTATGAGTAGATTATTATCAGTATCATCATTATTAGTATCATTATTATTAGTAGCATCATTATTAATAGCATTATTATTGGTAGTATTATTAGTAGTAGCATTATTATTAGTAGCATTATTATTAATAGCATTATTATTAGTATCATTATTATTAATAATATTATTAGTAGTAGCATTATTATAAATAGTATTATTATTAGTAGCATTATTATTAATAGTTTTATTATTAATAGCATTATTATTAGTAGCATTATTATTATTAGCATTATTATAAGTAGTATTACTTCTAGTAGCATTATTATTAATAGCATTATTTTTTAGTATCATTATTATTATTTGCATTATTACTAATAGAGTTATTGTTAGTATCATTATTAATAATAACATTATTAGTAGTAGCATTATTATTAATAGTATTATTATTATTAATAGTATTATTATTAGTAGCGTTATTATTAGCAGCATCATTATTAGTAGGATTATTATTAATAGCATTATTGTTAGTATCATTATTATTAGCATTATTATTAGTAGCATTAATATTATTTGGATGTTTACATGAACTACTTTGTAACTATTGTGGCTATCGCTGGAGAATGAGTGACAGCAAGTTTTGTTTTTTTTCAAATATTCGGTGATATTTGTTTTGTGACCCTTGATTTGATTTAAGTTTTTTTTTTACTCTATAATATATCCTTAAAGGTTTTATTATTATATTTCCTTGGATTTCTGGTGTATACCTATTTCTTTCTGGGTCCCAACCAGAGACCTATGGTCAGAAAAGCATACCAAGGGGAGACGGAATATAATATTACTACTACTACTACTATTAGTATACTTGGCCAATCGTATTCGAGGATAAATCTCTACTTGGGGGCCGTCGATAGCTGTGCTAGCATGAAGTCACAAGTCATCGTGGCCGAGGACTTCAGCGTGCTGGACTTGTTCAAATTATTGATCGCATTAGATAACACGGTCTTTTCTAGAAACTGTAACTAAGGTTTGCATCAGCATAGTTGCTGTATAAACCACAGGTGGGCTCTGTGGGTGATGAATAAACACAAATGTGCCTGAGCAAGCATCTGCAATAGGGATTGGCTAGCCGCCGTAGAAGGCGGGTATCCTCGATGGACACGTGGCCGAGAGGGTAGAACGTTCGAATTTTGAAAATGAGACACGGGTTAGAATCTCACCACAGTTGATTTGTCAGGAAGGAGACTTCCTGATGTTATCAATCTGGAGGGGGACGATCCCAGCGTGCGGCACCTTAGGAAAGTGCCCGAAAAACCAAACCACGGGTTGACCCAAGCCTTATGAGTGAAATTGGGTAGACGGAACTCTTGGGTGCCGTCAAAAGCAGTGCTGGCACAAAGACACAAGTCATCGATAAACAAATGTCCTCAAGAAAACATGGAACAGTGGATAAAGGCGTTGGTTAGATCAAGTGAGAGGACCCAAAGAGTGTGAGTTCAATACCCGGTTAAGGCAGTGGAGAATTTTGTA